TTTAACAAGGAAAGCAAAGCCATTGGAAAATAATACAGTTTTTTTTTAAATCCCAACAAAATACAAACTAGTCTGCCTCTCACACATATGTTTACATAGAAGATGTGCTTTTCTACCAGAAGTCTAGGAAATTTTCATAACAAAAATTAGCAAAACAGAGTGACTGAGAATAGAGAGAGTCAGAGGATGAAGGAGGTTTTCTCACACAAATACATACATATAAAAACATGTGCTTATGCAACCATCTTAACATTTGATGTCTTTGAGCTTATTTTATGTGCTTGACTTCTCACCCAAGGCCAATTTTCCAGCATGATATTGGACAGTATTCTGTTGTGGTCCCTAAGAATAATTTTTCCCTACGAGTTTATTTACAAAATTCTAATAAAAATTTGAACAAATCCTTTCAATTTCCCTCACCCCCCACCCTTCAAATTGTACAACTCAATGATTAATCCCCCCCTTCCTCCTTCACATCCACATCCCTGTGCTTCCAGCCTCTCCCATCCCTCCTGGATCCTTATATTCATTCTACAATAGCAGTTTTATACCTTAAGAGTAATTTTTAAAAGTAGACTTCCGGGATTTTCTTACTAGTTTATCTTCATGTGGAAGCTCGACTTGAGCCTGGCCATTGGATATGACTACAGGTGAGCCTCAGGGACCTATAGAGCTAGTGTGATGCCAAGATGATGTTGGTCGTGCCTTTCCTTTAGGATGAAGACGGGAAGGAATTGTCAAATGAGGACATTAGAGCAGAGGCTGATACTTTCATGTTTGAAGGTGAGGGTCCAACTTGGGATGGCATTAGGGGCAAGGATCTTAAGCTCTTGGGATCCTGAAGGGTGGACTTAGGATTGCCTCAGTCTGTGCTACCCTCGTCCATCTTCTTTGAGTATTTCAATGCAAGAGAGCTGTTTTCCCTCTGGTTCTGAAGCATCCAGTGACCCAAGCCCATTTGACTTTCTTTCAGGTCATGACACCACAGCCAGTGGCCTCTCCTGGGTCCTGTACAACCTCGCCAAGCACCCAGAATATCAGGAGCGTTGTCGAAAGGAGGTGCAAGAGCTCCTGAGGGATCGTAAATCAGAGGATATTGAATGGTAATTGCAGGCAAAACCTCCCTATTTTTATCACTCTGGTGGAGGCAGGGAAAAAGGAATGTTCGTGCAGGTTTCCCCCTAATTACTTAGTGAGAATAAGAACATAAACCAGATGCAATGTTTTGTGCCCAATCTGTCTAGCAAGAGAAATGCTATAGCTTTGGAGTTAGAAAGATCTGATTGATTGGGACAATAGTGACAATATTTGAGGGAAGATACTAGCACATGCTCAGTAAATGAACTTTTAATCTTCTCTCTTGTTTTCTTCTATGAGATTATCCCTTTTAAATGTCTTTATGCTGTGGATTTTGAAACTTCTCCCACTCCCTAGTTCCACCCTTTGTCCAGTCCAAGGATTCATGGGGCGGGGGAGGGGGACATTGGTTTAGAAGTCTTTCATTTCTTGTCTAGCACAACCTACAGTGTTATCCGTTCTGTTCTCATACAGTAGATATTCTTTCACTCCTCTCAGCTCAGTCTTCATCCCCAATGACAAGCCAAACTCCATTTTATGTCCTGAAGTTTCAAGAAGAGATCACTCCCAGGCTCTGTGTTCAGGATTCCCAGCCTGGTGGAAGAATAGTCCTAGTTCAGTGCAATCTCAGTCCACCTGGCTAGAACCAGAGTTTAAAGATAAACTAATGTGAAAATAGAATGAGGAAGATACCTTAACTGAGACCTTGTACCATAAGTCACCTTTTAGGTAAAATTGAGAAGATTGCTCTGTTGTTGTTGTTGTTATGTGTCGTCGAGTCACCTGTGACTCATAGTGACCCTATGTACGACAGCCCTAAACTCTGCTCTGTCCTGTGCCAATCGCACTGTCTCTGACACTCCCATCCCAATTATCCCAGTCACTGAATCAATCCACCTCATAGAGGGCCTTCCTCTCCTGTGCCGTCCCTCCACCCTCCTAAGCATGATGTCCCTCTCTAAGGACCGGTCTCTCCTCACAACATGTCCAAAGTATGTTAGAAGGAGCCTCAGAATCCTTGCCTCCAAGGAGCCACCCAGTTTAACCCTTTCCAGGACGAATCTGTTTGTTTTCCTAGCAGTCCATGGTATTCTCAATACTCTAGGCTAAGGAAATAGACCAGGCAAAAGTCCAGTGGAATAAGAGATAGGTAGGTATATAAATATTCTATGCTACATAGGTGATGATTGCTTTTCTAAAGCTTGTGTTTTTTTCAAACAAATATATATCATCTCATCAATTTCAGTGAGATGGGATTGACATTATAAAATTACGTTGTTACAGACAATGGGTTCAGGCAAGGAGGAAATCATGAGGATAGAGCAGGGAAGGGAAGTTTTAATTTGTTGTTCAAAGGCCACTATGAGTAGTAATGTACTCGAAGACACCTGACAACAAAAGAATAACAAAGCCAAAGCCTTAACACCCTCTTTGCATAAACTCCTACTATCACTCAAATCCCCAGTACTACTGATCCATTAATAATTTCTGCTGTCTGTATGTTTGCTTTTCCTCCATTTTTTTCCCTCAGTTTTTTTATTTTGCAGCTACATCATTATTATGAGCCTGCTATCAACTTCTGTAGCAGACAGACCAAGGGTTTCTTTTAGGTTTCTCATCTTATAGGTGAGAAACCCAAGGCTTCAGCATGACATAGAATTTGCCTGAGATCACAGTTCAGCTAAGAGACATCATTAGGGTTCAAGTTCACCTCTCATGGGCCACAGTCTAGTGTCCCTTCCAACATACAGTCACTGCATATCTTTTTACCAAATCTACGGTACCTGAGGCTGAAGAGAAAAAGATAGGCTCACGTCCAATGTTACTCAAGACCTCTGGGTTGGCGTGGAGGCTGACCTCTGCAGAGTGGCTTGTTAATTTAGTGCTAGCTTGACCCTTGCAATTAGATGCTGGACAGAACTGGGCCCAGGGGAGATGGACAGCAGGGTTTAATGGAAATGGGAATGCTGGTGACGATATGAGCAATCTGAATGATGGTCTTAATTTGCACAAAGCCTGATAGATTTGCAACAATTCCAAACCATGTCAAGTGTCTCCGTCTCCTCTTTTGCTGACGCTTCCTGGATCGTTTAAGAGTTTCCCTATAGATCAGTAGTATAACTCAAGACCTGAATTTGGTTTTTCCAGGTCTCTGTATATTCCATTATAATACTTGGCTTTGTCTTCTCGAGATGTCCTTTACAATCTTCTGTTCAGCTTTTCACTCCGGCATCTCTTCCCTTTGTTTTGGCTTCTTGATGCTGTGGTGCAATTTTTAGTCTCTTCTGACATTTTTGTAGTTTTTTTTTTCTTTTTCCTCTGTCTTTGTAATGAGTTCTTGCTGTCTTCATGGATGATATCTTTGATGTCATCCCATACTCATCTGGTCTTCTATCATTGGTGTTCACTGTTTCAAAGCTATTCTTAAGGTGATTTTTAAATTCAGGTGGGATAGACTTAAGATCATGATTTGTCTTTTTTTTACTTATTTTTATTTCCTTCAACCTCAATCTGAACTTTCACATGAGTAATTGGTGGTCTGTTCTACGGTCAGCACCTGCTCTGGTTTTGACAGCTGATATAGCTTCTTAAAAGAAGCTCATTAAGAGATGGAAGGAATACACAGAGTCACTGTATCAGAAAGAATTGGCAGAAATGGAAATATTTCAGGAAGTGTCATATGATCAAGAGCCAATGAGATGATGGAGGAAGAAGTGCAAGCTGCACTAAATGCATTAGAAATAAGGACCCAGGAATCAATGGGATACCAAACGACATGTTTCAAATAAGATACAGCCTTGGATATGCTCACAAATCTATGCTAGGAAATTTGGAGGACAACTGCCTGGCCAATTGACCAGACGATATCTAATCTATATTTGTTCTCATTCCTAAGAAAAGTGATCCTACAGAATGTGGAATTTTTTTAACAATGTAATTAATATCACATACAAGCAAAATATTGCTGAAGATCATCCTCAAACAACTAGAACAGTACCTAGAGAACTGCCAGAAGTTCAAGCAGGCTTTAGAAAAGGCTGTGACATCAGGAATACCATTACTGATATCAGATGGATCCTGGTTGAAAGCAGAGGATACCAGAAGGATTTGTGCTTTATTGACTATGCAAAGACATTTGACTATGTGGATCATAACAAATTATGGCTAATATTGAGAAGAATGGAAAATCCAAGAACACTTAATTGTGCTCATATGAAACCTATAGCTAGACTGAGAGATTGTTGTGCTGACAGAGCGAGGGAACACGATGTGGTTTAAAATGAAGAAAAGTGAGTCGGATGCATCCTTTCTCTATATCTATTCAATCTTTATGTTGAGGAAAGAATTAGAGAAGCTGGATGCTATGAAGAAGAATGTGGCATCAGGATCCAAGGAAGACTTATCAACAGCCTGTGTTATGCATATGACACAACTTTGCTTGCTAAAAGTGAGGAGAACTTGAAGTATGTACTGCAGAAGATCAGACTATAGCCTTCAATATGTACTGCATCTCAAGAAAACTTCAAGGAAACAAAAATTCTTCCCACTGGATTGATAGGCAACATCATGATAGATGGAGAAAGTTTGAAATTGTCAGTGATTTCATCTACCTGAATCCACAATCAGTACCCTTCATATCAGCAGTCAGGATATCAGGAGAAGTATTTCATGGGGAAGTTTGCAGTCAAGAATCTCTCCAAATCACAGAGGAGCAATGATACGTGTGAAGACTAAAATGTGCCCGATTCACGCCTATCACTTGCTATGCATCTGGGAGCTGGACAATGCAAAAAGATGAGTGAAGAATAATTTATACCTTTCAGTTATAGTGTTGGAGAAGACAACTGAATATCACATTAACTACCAAAAGCCCAAACAGATACGTCTTGGGGAAAGTGCAGAATGCTCTTAGAGGCAAAGATGATGAGGCTTTGTCTCACATACTTTGGGCATGTTTCTGTTGTTGTTGTTGTTATGTGCCGTCGAGTCGCCTGCAACTCATAGCGACCCTATGTACAACAGCCCTAACCTTTGCTCTGTCCTGTGCCAGTCGCACTGTCTCTGACACTCCCATCCCAATTATCCCAGTCACTGAATCAATCCACCTCATAGAGGGCCTTCCTCTCCTGCGCCGTCCCTCCACCCTCCCAAGCATGATGTCCCTCTCTAAGGACCTGTCTCTCCTCACAACATGTCCAAAATATGTTAGACGGAGACTCAGAATCCTTGCCTCCAAGGAGCCACCCATTTTAACCCTTTCCAGGACAAATCTGTTTGTTTTCCTAGCAGTCCATGGTATTCTCAATACTCTTCTCCAGCACCACAGCTCAAAGGCATCAATTTTCCTTCTATCCTCCTTGGTCATTGTCCAACTCTCTGGTGCATAACAAGTGACTGCGAAGACCATGGCCTGTATCAGACGCACCTTAGTCTCCAGAGAGACACCATTGCTCTTTAGTACTTTGGAGAGGTCCCTAACAGCAGACTTTCCCATGGCAATGCACCTTTTAATTTCCTGGCTGCTGGTGCCAAGACTGTTGACTATGGAGCCAAGCCAACTAAAGCTGTGTACAATCTCAATCTCTTCTTGGTCCAGTGCTGAGAATCTTTGTCTTTTTGACACTGAGCCTCAATCCATATTGTAGGCTGCAGTCCTTGATGCAGCAGGTGCTTCAGGTCCTCTTCAGTTTCAGCAAGCAGGGTTGTGTCATCCGCATAGGAAAAGTAATTCCTTGGAAAGGGGCATCATACTTAGAAAGCATAGGGTCAGTGAAAGAGAGGAACACTTTAAACCAGATGCATTGATACAGTGACGGCAACAATGGGCTCAAGTATGTCAGAAATGATGAGGATGGCACAGCACGGAACACTGTTCAAATCTATTGTTCATGAGTCATTATGAATCATACTCGACTCAATAACACCTAACAACAACAACAACAAACAACATATATTTGCTTATTTCATCTAAATGACATCACAAAGTATTTGTCCTTTTGTGGCTGAGTTCACAGAACATGATGTTTTCAAACTTCAACCATATAATGGAATGCACCAGAGCTTCTTGAAAAATTATATTTTCTTTTTTTTTTTTAAATTGCACCAGGGCTTCTTGTTTCTTCATACTGAGTGATTCTCCAAGCAAGATGCCATATATCCATAGTTATATACCCCTGAGTGTGTCACATCATGCTTGGAAAAGTAGAGGACAGCTAAAGAGAGGAAGATCATTGACAGGATGGATTGACACAGTGACTGTATGAGTGGGGTTGAGTGTGGCAGAGGGCATGAAGATGGCAGAGGGAGGCAAGATTTCATATGCTGTTGGGAGGCTATCTATGAGTCCCAGCTGACTGGAGGCATCTATCTATAGGAACAACAGCATTCCTTCATATTTAGAGATAACTTTCTTTTTATCTATTTGTCTCTGATGCATCAGATGCATTTATTTTGTCACAGGGTAGCGAGGGTCAGAAAGAGGTGGTGAAACAGTGTCACTAGGGGCAGGGGTTGGAGACTCTTTGCTCCCAGGTTAGTTGTTGAGCGGTGGATTCTTCAGGGATGACCTGGCCCAGATGCCCTTCCTGACCATGTGCATCAAGGAGAGTCTGCGGCTACATCCTCCTGTCACTGCCATCATGCGCTCCTGCACCCAGGACATAATGCTTCCAGATGGCCGAGCCATCCCCAAAGGTGCTGGTAATGGCAAGGGGAAGGTCCTGGGCAGGAAGGGGGACTCATTGTGCTGTGGAACCTCCTTCTGACTATCCCTCCTCCCACAGGCACCATTAGTCTCATCAGCATCTTTGGGACTCATCACAACCCCACTGTGTGGCTGGATCCTGAGGTACTGCCCTAGACCACGCATTTTATGCACCACAGAGGGCCTTAAAGGTGTGGGATGTGGAGCAAGGAATGAAATACATGCACATCGACATCTCCAGGGCTATTGTTCCCTGAGACCCCCACCTTCCTGTTTCCCCACTCCCAGGTCTATGACCCCTTCCGCTTTGACTTGGAAAACTCCCAGAAGAGGTCGCCTCTGGCTTTTATTCCCTTTTCTGCTGGGCCTAGGTGAGACCTTCGGGGAACTGAGGTGGCGTAGAGTGGGGTTTGGCATCTAGGACGTCGCTGAAGCCTGATTTATGAGAGGAGGCAGTTTCAGTTGGTCCAAGTTCTAGTCCCTTGTCTCCTCCCTTTCTAGAGATTTGGACGGGGATTTAGGGGGAAAGGAGAGATTCAAAGAGGCCCTGGGCACTCAGAGTTCTTCAGCTTTTCTGAATCAGGGAGGGAAGCTGAGCGTAGTTCAGGGTGCACAGAAACGCACTTGGGGGTCCCGGACCTGTCAATCTCCACCTTTCCTTTACATGTCAGGTGGATCCAAGCTAGATTAGGGGAACTAGATTAGATTCTAAGGGAGTTGAGTTTGGGATGGCTGTCTTGGGTGAATTAGACCCCTTTCTTCCCTTCAGGAACTGCATCGGACAGACGTTCGCCATGGCTGAGATAAAGGTGGTGCTGGCCCTCACACTGCTGCGTTTCCGAGTCCTAGCCGACGACGTGGAGCCCAAGAGGCAGCCAGAACTGATCCTGCGTGCTGAGGGCGGACTGTGGCTGTGGGTGGAGCCGCTGGGAGATAGAGCACAGTGATCCCAGAATCTCTTAACACCCCTACTCCTGATACACCTACCTATCTTAACAGACTCACAGGAATAAAACTGTCACCCCTTCCAGAGCCTTGCTGGGAACTAATCGGGGCTCTTGGGCACAGATGGACTTATGTTTGGGAGGCAGGAGTCCATGATTCAAGGTTCAAGATGCCCGTCCCTCCTGTTAATTTTTCCAGAATCTGATGATGGAAATAAGCTGTGGGTATTAGGGAGATGTAGGACACGTTCCACCAAGAAAGGGATCATTGTTGAGGATGGATTTAAGGGATGAAATGAGCCCTTTAGTCAAGGGGGGTCTTTGCATGTGCTGACTGCCCATCCTTCCCCGGCTAATTTAGTAGTGGATGTAAAAAATTGGTAACATCCAAGATTCTAAGTTAACACAAAGAAATAGTTTTCTTCCTGTAGAAACTGTCAGATCATTTACAATTGTACTGTAGGGAGCTCTGGTGGCCTAGTGGTAAGAAGCTGTGCTGCAATCCCAAAGACAGGTAGTTTGAGTCCACCAACAACTCTGTGGGAGAAGGATGGACAATCTCATCCAGTGTGGTTTACTGCCTCTGAAAACCCCCTTCAAGATCCATTATGAGTCGCTTCAGCCTCGAAGGTACGCAAAACAACAGCAGCAGCAATGTGCATTAAGGATTTGGAAGGAGGACCCCACGTGCACTGATTTGCAAATTTGGTTACAAGATGGTCAATATTTACCATGTGTCTTATATTATATAGAAGAGCCATGAATGCTTATGGACTCAGGGCTCTGCTTAGATTCCCCAACCCTAAAGGGAACTAGGGTTTGATCACTATCTGGTGAGAATCTTAGCACATAACTAGAATTCAGAATTAAGAAGAAATCGTCAGTGTAATAAAAGAAATTGCTCATGAGAAAGAGGGGAGGCTACTATCAGGGGGAGGGTTTTTATAAAAACATCTAAATATGGGGGACATTCTTCTTTTAGAAGATCACCCAGCCAAGCTACAGATCCTGTCTGTGAGCCAAACCCAGGAATTGTCCTGCTGGTAAAGGACAGATGCTGCTATGCATGTGTTAGGCGTGCTTGTGGCTATGTGTGTTTGTCAGTATTTTTGTTTCTGTGTGTTTGAGCATGCCATCTCTCTCTCTCTCTATGTATGTATCTGTTTCTTTCTGTAGTAGGTGTGATGGGTGCTTCTCCAAGAGTGGAGGACTCTGGGCAAGAAGTTCATCACAGCTTATAGTTAAACAGGCTCCCAGGAGTGGAGAGAAAATAGAACAAAGAACAGCAGACCAAGGAGAATTAGTTCCCTAAAACACTACCTCCCCAAGGCAAACTACTAAATAAAACAACAGGGAAGGGTGCTCTGATGGCCTGCTAACTCCCCACCCTGGATCACTGAAGTAGTCATGAGTCATTAACCTACTAAGAACCTATATTGGAACAGAAATCTGCACACACCCAACAGAAACAATACCGGTCATCTTGGCCATTAAAAAAAAGAAAACCTCCCCGAGCCCCAAAGTCATTGCCATAGAGTCCTTGTTACAGAGTAGACCTGTCCTATCCCATAGGATTTTCTTGGCTGTACTATTTATAGAGGAAACTCTGGTGGCCTAGTGGTAAGAGGCTGTACTACAATCCCAAAGGCACTGTGTTCGAATCCACCAGCTACTCTGTGGAAGAAGGATGAGAATCTCCTTTCGTGTGATTTACTGCCTTTGAAAACCCACTGCAGGGCACAACAACAAAAATATGTATAGAAATCACCAGGTTTTTCTTCCAATGTATCACTGGGTAAAGTCAACTTCCAATCTTCAGGTTAATAGACCAAACCGAATATTGCTGTCCAGTTAATTTTGACTCATGGTGATTTGTATTAGTTTCTAAGGTCTTACATTTCTACAGCAAGACATTGCACATGTTTCTACTACAAAACCTCTAAGTGAACTGGAATCACCAATTTCTTTCATCCTAGTACTTATTTATGGTGCCACAGTTAACAGCCGAGTGCAAAGCTGTTAGCCCTACCCAGGGACCTCGTTTTATAGTCACTTCATGTTCACCCAACTTTAGTATTCCAGTCACCAGTTATTTTTAATGCATCTTGATCATATGTTCTATCAATTTTAGACTTCAAAAGTTAGTAGAAATCCACAATTTCCTCATCTATGGCTTTTGCTCGTGGTGTGTATCTTTGTATAATTGTCGTATTAACAGATCTTCCTTGTACGTGATAATGCTCTATCACTCACAACATTGTACTTCAGGAGAGGTTGAAATGATCTTTTATACTATGAATGCCATGCCATTCTTTCTCAATTTTTTATTTCCTGCATAATAGATATATATGATTGCATGATACAAAATAGCCAATATCAGTTCATCTCAGCTCACTAATGCCTAAAATATCAAATTTATGCATTCCAGTTCATTTTAGGTAGCTCTCAATTTTTCTAGATTCGTATTTTGTGTATTCTAGACTCTAGTTATTCATTAATTTTACTTCAATTATCCTCACTTTAATGACTTACAATACAGTCTGTATTGCCAATATTTCATATAGCAATGCTCCTTTATTATTTCTAATTTTTGAAGGTCAGATATTTCAGTAGTGGATGGCTAATCCTGCTTCTTAGTTTGTCTTGCAAGTCAAGTCACCCCAATAGAGGAAACTGACAGAAAAGTGCACCTTTGTACCTTGTTGGTTCTAGTATGTACATGAATATGTTTAAACATAGATTAAGATGAATGAATGTAGAAATGTTGTCTTCCAAATCTCTATATGCTCATGGATATAATCTCTTTCACCTGTTCATGTATATTTGCCTTGCCTACTGACCATATATCCTTGTAGCATAATGCTAATAATGCTACTATATTGCCAATAATATATGGGTTTTCTGTGCAGTGAACACAGGTACAATTTTCTATTTGCATTCATGCATTTACTTCTTCTTAGTATATGCTTAGGATTGGGTCATTTGGTAGTTTTATGATCAGCTTTGGTGTTTTCTTTTTGTGTGTGTTGTTTTCTTTTAATTCTTAACAATCTTGTGAAATAGGTGTATCAGTTTCTTAGGGCTGCTGTAACAAATCATAACAATATGTTGTAGTTGTTGTGTGCCATTGAGTGGGAACCAATTCATAGCTGTGCCTCCAGAGGGTTTTCAGAGGCAGTGAATCCAGGTGAGGAAATTTCTCATCCTTTTTCTGTGGAGATTCAGGTGAATTTGAACTGTGTGCCTTTGGGATTGCAGCACAGCTTCTTATTTCTGGGTTACTAGAGCTTCTATAGGTGGCTCAAAAACGATAAGAATGTATTATGCCACAGACCTGTAGGATAGATATGACAGTACATGGTTTCAGTGCTGTTGTTGTTGTTGTTATGTACTGTCATAGTGACCCTATGTACAACAGCTCTAAACTCTGCTCTGTCTTGTGCCAATCTCACTGTCTCCGACACACTCCTCCCGATTGCCCCAGTCAC